AAAAGAAATACTGAGAAGACTTGAGCAACAGTTATTACTAATTTACATTATGCATTATCAATATAAAACCTGAAATTTTATCCAATTTATTACATTATAATATTTATTATAAAGTATTTACAAATTCTTAGACTTGAAAATCACCATTCATAATAAGATAAAGTTTGAAAAACTCAATATTGACTCAGTAAAGCAATTAACAACTGTAACACTATAATAGTTTAAACAAAGGTATATTACAATTTCTCGGCTAAGTAATTCTTTTCCAATAAATTTTCATAGCCCTGATCTCTACCCATTATATTTTATTTTTAAAACATTTAACTAAACATTATATTATCCAATTTGAATCCCTTGAATTCCCAAAAGAAAATAAATTTACAAAATTGTGGCCAATGGACAGGTTGGATAAAAAAGAATCTATCTCATAAATCCCATCAGTCAAAAATTTAAATGCCTTATTTCACCATAAAATATACAGCAAATAATTAAATATAAATAAAAATTAAACCATTCTTTTAAAAATAAACATTTATCTTGTATTGAAATAGATTCCGACTGTTTAGTGAACTGTAACTGATAAAGTTAAGAGATCAGGGCCAGCCATATTAATAATTATAATAGAGGCAAAAAATCCAAGTTGGTTACAACTACATTTGTAAATTTTCATGCTGTATGTATGAAGGATGATGTAAGTAATGAGAAAATAAAATATAAATTAACACTATTTTTTCTGTTTAAATAAAATTACAGTAATTGTACAAATACAACTTTTTAGAATCTAACTTTTAAGTTTTCAGGTTGTATTATTCAGTTTTATTCGATTTTTTAATTATAATAAATACATGTTCAACATATTTTAATGGACTTTTAAAATTTATCTTTACTATCATTGACAACCAATTCTTTTTATGTTATCAAAACAAATACACTGGATATCATTCATAACATTGGTTGTAATGGCTTACTAGCTTTTACAACAAAAATAGCAGGACCGATGATTCATCAAACTATTGTAATATAGTTTTTAATGATATAAAAACAACAGTTATAGAGACTGACTTAAGATTTGATTTCTTACCAAGTGATCAGATTTAATGACAGACATCCCTCAGAACTCTGCAAATCTTAGTATAAACATCACTTTTCTAGGAAATTGATTATTTTATTTTGACACTTATGCAACTTCTAGAAAAATGATTTCTTTCCATACACTCCACTCTTAATTATTTTATGGCAGAATGCTGTTGCAGCAGTATCTATCGAGGTGATCCCTATGGAGGGTACACTGCTGGAACACTAAATTCACATTCTCTACCCCATTTAACATGTGGCATTAGCAATTTTGTTTTTTACATGTCTAAACCCATATGTACAAGTTAAACAAATTAAAACTTTTCTCACATTTTTCGGAACCTCAAATTATTGACCTAATACTCCTTATATCAGGTGTTGTTTTTGTGCTGTTTTCTCAAGGAACGGCAGACAAGGTTCTTTTTACTCAGAATAACATACACTTTCGTAATTTACAACCAAACCTCCGCCTGCGATGAGGTCGATTTATGGGCCCTAGTTCCAGGGCTAATTATACCAATATGGTTTAAGTACATACAGAGTTTATGAGGTTCTTTTAAGGTCTTTATAAATGATTTCCAGTGTACACCCATCTTAAAGAATTCTTACAACTTAGAGCAATGCAATAATAAAACCATCACAGAAAGAATGTTACATGCAATTAACTCAGATTTCAAAAATTTATTTTTAAGTGGTATAAATAAATAAAATATCAAGGAATGAATCTATCATATTTTAAGAGAAAGTAAGACTAATATAAGTATAAAACAATTTAAAGAGCCTTATAGAAATTGTAAAACATTTTTCAATAATATTTATTCTGATATAAGTAATGTAAAGAATAAATTTAACTAATGCCAGGACGAATAGGACGGATTTAAGTTTTAACCATTCCTAAAGTTGATATTTACACCAAAATATAGAGCTATCAAGGTTTTTAATATTTATTGAAAATATGGTTCAAATTAATTTATATCTTAGAGAGCTTGAAATTCTTAATTGAGAATACATAAAAATAGTCATTACAACACAATTGTTTTGCTACAATAGAAGGATAATATTGTAGAATCACAATTGTGAAATATATTATAATAAAATAACTATAAACTTTAAAAACAATATTGCAATACGGTCCTCCTTTCCTTTACAACTCATTTCAGAAACAAAATTAATTTTACTTTGAAATAGAATACTTCAGACATAATAATATTTTAAGAAAGAAAAAAGGACTAGGCAGATTTATGAAATAATTTTAATAAATGCTTCTAAAGAATCAGAAACAGATTAGAATAAAAGTTATTTTATTAATACCAATAATATGTTTCCAAAAGCTACAAATTTCTCCATTCAATATATATTTAATTTTCTGAAAGAAATAATGCTCAGCAGGAAATAATTTCCCAAGGAATGAATGAAAAAAACTTCATTCATTTAGTAATGTCAAACACATTGAACAAGTTATAAATAACTTATGAAGTGATGAATAAGTTTTAGTGAAACCATTCTATTTTTACATAAGCATGATGAACCTCACCTGTAATCTAAAGAAACATACAATACCTATATTTTAACAAAAAACACATACAAGGATTGTATTTGTGATTTAATCAAGATCTTCATTGTGAATGAATAAAACATAATCGTTATACTTCTAATCAAATGCTACAATCATGACTAATTCTAAAAACAGAACTAGACTATTTTCCTAATCTACATTGAAAACTGAAACATGATTGTCACAATTATCAGACAGTTTAATATAGTCTCTCAACAATAATAAGCCATTAACAATAACAATTATTTATTATTAACATTAAATTATTCCTATCATTTTACTCAAATATAATGAATAAATTATATATATTTAGCTCAGTACAATCATACCAAAAATTATGTAGTCGTAAAACCCACAGAACACCTTCTCGATTTTCAAACTGACAAACAAAGGGACATTTTCATACATATGGACGATATGATTTTAATTCATAAATATACTCTGTTTGAATTAGAAAAGTCACCCAGCCTATATATACTCATTTCAAAAATAATAAAAACAATTTTATTTTACTCAAATCTGCAAATAAAAAAGTTACAGATTTTAACTAAGCACGGACAGACCACACCATTCCTAAAAATTGTAATTAGTGGCACTAATTTTCTCAGGATCGGCAAGAACAAACTTTTAAGAATATAATTTGTGACTGTCTATTGTATAAGTAACTCCACCTCTGAAAGGAGAAAACTAGGCAAAGGCAAAATTTGACTTCACACACAATTCAAAAAATGTATCAATATTTAGACTTTGAAAAGCCGATAAAAGGGAGGAAGAAATACAAGGTGTTTTCTTAATAATCTGTGAAAAGCTTTTAAGGTGTTAAACTCGTTCATAGAATGTTCTATATTATAAATTGCATGTATCATTTTTGCTTGCACTGTATGTACTATGCATAGTATTTGTTCTGTTTTCATTATCTAAATTTTAATACTGTTTTATGCATTAATATTTCTATTATGTGTCGATTACTGATAAATTCTAAATGATTTATTTGAAAGTATATAGTATACATTTTTATGGAATGTACCAATAAGTGGATCAGTTATTATATTTTATTTTAAAAGATTATTCAGCACTAATTATGTCAGTTTAAGGTGAATGATACTGAAATAAAATCCAATATTATATCAAAATCATAAGAAATTTTGGCATGAACCAAATGAATTCAAATAATTAAAGAAAACTTCATAAAACTAAGAGAAAACCATCAAAAATAAAAGAAAACCTAATCAGTATTATGAAAGGCATATTCCAGATACTAATATTGAAGTAAAGAGCAGGTTGAAAATGCTTATTAATAATTTCCTGAAGTTATTAATATAAATAGTACCTTATTATTATACAACTTGAAATGAATTTATCAACACTAAAAACCAATATAATTTAATTTAATAAACTAAAACCTTCAAGTACCTTAAATTTGAAGTCTTTGAGCAAGTATTCAATTAATTTAATTTACTTTTAAGATAACAGACAAATAGGTTAGTGGAACAGATATGGAATGTGGATATGAAACAAACACTATCAGAATGGCATAGTATTAAAGGTATCATCATAGTTTTAAATATATACAACCAAATACAAAATTAAACTGCATGATTAGAATAATTAGTGTAATCCATAAATTATTTAAAAAAGGAATGTTTGACGATTAAAAACATTGGCATCCATTTGGTAGAAACTTGTATATGCGTAATTGTGGGTTTATGGTTGACTGTAGTGAATAATTGAAGAGAAGGATGGTTGGGGTGTTCAGTCAAATTGAAATGGTAAAAAATAAATTTGACTACAAAAACAATTTGACTGAACACCCCAACCATACCATCCTTCTCTTTAATTAAATATTAACCTTTTACAACAAAACAAATGTGTGTGCTCCTCCACCCCTCTCATTCACTCCTCACTTCTAATAGTTATCAATCCCTGAAGATATTATCAGTAGATCATTTAACATATTTTTTGTTTCTGTTTACAAAACTCAGCACAGTGAGAGAGTTATAATAAATGAATTTACAAATCTATCGATCTATAAATAATAAATAATATAATCTCCCAAAATAAATTATAGGCTTCAAAGAATGTAATTTCAATTGGACCTTCTTATTGCTTATTGACATTTCACTGATCACACAGTTCATAAAATGGCTATGAAAAAATACATACATACACGTATATGTATGTATGTATATATACATACAGTATAAATAACAGTTTAAGTTAATGATCAACAACAATATTTTCACAAAAATTACATACAAACATATTGTGAGATCAAAGAAAATTTACTAGCATATATTGCAATGTCGACTTTCACATTAAGTATTATCTTAATTAAACTGATTAATATTAATTTTAATATTCAAATAACTTTCTATTCACAAGCAAGCTTACTATCAAAACTGCTAAGGGCAATTGCAAAGGCCTGAAGAGCACACATTGGGTAACGATAATCCATAGTAAATACATCTTCAGCAACTCTTCCAAACTGCATTACTACATAATCCACTAAAAAATAAAAAACAGAAATTAGATAAAATGACTAGGAATAATCAAGTTTCAAAATATATTTAAACAAAATTACAAGATAAGCAAAGTCATTACTAAAAGCAACATTAAGCAAATTCATTCATTTTCTCATATCAGCAGAATAATTTATCTCTAAAAATACAGCAGAGTCCCGCTAATTTGAACTCTGATTGTATGGACATCCAATTATTTCAGACATGATTAAAATTTAGTAAACAAAAATGTAATTTTTAGTGAGTGGTAATTGGAAAAATAATCCAAGAGAAAGTTTAACTTAAACTTACAGGTTAACAAATGTATGTTGGTAGGTAACACATTTTATCTAAGTTATGCTGAAACAGTTATTTATGTTTTAGAAAATAGTGCAATTACTTACTACAGAGTTTTGCCAAAACATTGATTTCATTTATTCTTAATTTCTGCAATATTTAGTCCATGTGACAAAAGAAAAATTGAAAAAATAAATTGTATAATTCTGAATTTAGGTACAGTTGTTCATTGGAGTGTCGTGTACAACATGCTAGATCCTACTGGTGGGAGGTGAGCGAAGGGATATTTTTCTCAAATATCTCACAAATTATCAATTTTAGCTAAAGGTACTTCATGTACAAATTTTTCTTTAAGAATCCTATTAGATTTTTTTTTATAGTCAATAGTTAGAGATAAAGAAAGTATTACAAATTGAATATACCAAGGTGAGTGTGTTTGATGTTTATAATCAATTTCAACATGATAGCCTATCAATATATCTAGAATAGCCTATCTAGTAATCAGCCAATTCTAATCTCAGTGGAGAAGGTAATGATTCATTCTGTGCCACAAAATAATTTTAATCTGGCCAGACCAGATGCATACTGGTGCACTAGTCGCAAGATTGCTTAGGTTAGGACACCTTAACACTCAGCCATCAAAGCCTCATTAAATATTAGCTCTATTTGAGTACTACACACCTCAATGATTTGAAGATTTGTTCAATTTTCCCAGGGTCATTTTCCACCTTCCTCGCCTACCTGGTATCTGAAACCCCACCTTATACAGTACATCACACCTGATTAAGATATCATATTGATCAGTCAATTCCTCTACCATATGGGCAACTACACCTATCTTAAGCCCGGTGAGATTCTTGAGTTCCCATACATACTCCCCCAATAGTCTGCAAGGGCCACTCAAAGTGATTTACTTTGAACATTTGGATACCTTGATCTTGTACTTACCATTCAACCTCTTCAAAACCCTTCTGTTGAACAAGGTACTGATACTACCAGTATCGATTAACGCTCTCAATTCCATCAATGCATCTCTGCACTATAGGCAACCTCTCACACACACTATTTACCAACTGTTGCATTCCTGTGTTGCCCTAGACTTTTCAGATTCTAGTAGTTTTCTTCTGTGTGTTGGCTTTTTTGGGTTTGTACCTCTGACTTATCTTTTCACCCGCTTTTTCATCCAATTTCGACCACCTGTGCTTCTGGTGATGTTCTTTATCATTAGAACTTTTTTCAGAATATTCTTCCGAGCTCGAAGTTTAAATATCCCTAGAAAGTCTCGTTGTGTGGGTGTTTACATTCATAGGCTCTGGAGCTGGATTCCTCCTGTAAATCCAGGGGCATAGCCTAGCGACGTGACCTTTGTCCTCACATTCGAAAAATTTAATGGAGGGACAATTAGCTAAGATTTGCCCTGACTTATTACATTCATAACATCTTCGGACATCTTATCTTCTAGGTCCATGAGGAGTAGAACAATTCTGTCCATCTCTATGGCTTCTTCTGGGTACAAGTTTGGGGCTCCACAATAGCTCCGGGCTGGGGATGATCAGTTTTCTATAGCTCCATTTCTGAAAGGTACTTGTCTCCACTGTTGGCCATCTGATTCTTCCTGTTCTTTTGCTCCCTTGTCTATTATTTCCCTAACAAACTCGACAAAAGATTTATCTGAGGTTAGTTTCTCTTTGATCATCAAATTTTGTCCCAATTGTACCTTCAGGACTTCCTCAAAAATTGCTAGCTGTTGGGCTGCCTCTACTTATCCTACAGTCTCGAAAAGCTGTTCGGAGATGGCTGTATATTGATTACACATTATTTCCAGAAAACTGTAATCTGACTGTCCCGATCTTCTAACCTCTGTAAATAGTCTATAGGCGTCTTCTTTAGGTAGGTAGCATCACTATTCTGGTCTGGTTGATGGTCTTGAGGACCAATAGGTAGGCCTTGAGGTTGATTGGTCGGCGCTGGGTTGCCTAACTGCCTCGATCTTAAAAGCATAAGCTTCTAAAAAATGCCTTTCTCAGAGCCCGTAACCAACATAACTCACGGGTTTCGACACCAGTTAAGTTACTTAATATACTTAGTATATTTTAATATAGGAATTAAAAATAAAGTAAAAGGTAACAAAGTGAACACTGTGACTGCTTGAACAATAATAACTTTTATTCATGACTTTAGTTTTGAAACAATGATAATTAAAACATATGTTTTTTCATAATATTTTGTAAATCTGAATAACATTCGTAGAGTTAACTTCGTGCGTGAGGATTACGAGTGCTGTTATTCTCAACAACTATTCTCACTGTCTACAGGGAGTACATTTTTTGTTTCTTTTTTTTATTTTTATTTCTATTTTTATCTCATTTTATGTAAGTAATTTTTTACAATTGTTTTAATAATTTTTCTTTTTTATATTTAATCTATCGTCTCATCTAATGGAGACTAAATTAGAGCCAAAACCTCCTGACAGAGAGAAAAGGATAGAGGGTATGAAAACACGGGAGAAAATTTCATATCGTGAAGCAGGAGTTTAGGTTGAGGCGCGAGGAATTACCCATTGTAAATGACTCAGGTAGAACACACGCTGAGGTTGTGGCTGCGCATGCTCCGCCTGCCTCCACTCCCGAGCAACAGCGAACATCTTTTTTTTTTAGTGGAACAGGTCTCAAAATTAGCTAGTACAGTCGAAGTTTTATTTAAAAAAATAAGTATAATGGAGGTCTCAAGCCCTGGTAAAGGAGGGGTCCCCACTGCAGCCAGAATGGGTGTACCTTATTGGAAAAGCATCATCTCTGGTCAGTAGCAGCAGTTTGACATCTACGTTGTGAAGTAGTGAGGGAGCTGACCAGACAGCTCTGAAGAAGCAGCCCTTCTATTTGGCTTTGGGAGCAACGGGCTCATAACTCGCTCTCCCGAGACAAAACAAACAATGAAAAGTACAGAAAGAAATAGAGCCGATCAGATTTTATGGCAACAGACACGGCGTGGAAAATGGATCACACGATTGGGTACATGGCACGTTAAAGGCTTAAATGGGAAAGAAGTAGAATTGGTCGAAGAGAAGAAAAGAGCGAGGATAGCCATCCTAAGGATAACAGAGACTAAGAAGAAAGGCAAAGAACAGAGGATAGAAGACCACATATTATTATATGGCGGAGTCAATCCGGGGGAACATGGAAAGAGCGGTGTGGCATGCTTATTTCACCAAAACTTGGCTCACTGTGTAAAGGACTGGAAGGCTGTTAGTGATAGACTCATGCGAGTGGAAGTATGTAGCGGAGGAGTCCCATACTCTCTACTCATAGCATATGGACCAAATGATAATGCCACTAGTCTTGAAAAGGAAGGCATACCAATAATTATGGGAGACCTGAATGGAAGAGTAGGAAAGGACTCGACCAAATGGGGTGGCGCATTGGGACCAGATGGTGAGGAAAGTTGCAACGACAACGGCAAAAGAATTCTTAACCTTTGTCTTGCAAATGATATGATAGTTGGAAACAGCTTCTTCCCACACAAAAAGATTCACAAATACACAAGAGAGGGGCCAAGTAGAAATGAAAGGTCTATTATCGACTATTACCTAATACAATGAGAACAAAGAAAACACGTAGTAGACATAAGAGTCAAAAGAGGCTACGAAATAGGTAGCGACCATCGGCTACTTATAATGGATATAGTACTCAATAACCGCGCAACCACACCAGGAACATCAAACCGGACAAATAAGTTCAAAATAAAATATTTCAAACTCAGGGAGCCAGAGGTGATACGGGCATATCAGGACTCGATTGAAGAAAAGGCAAATAGTGGAAGATACAATTGGGACAGTGACAACGTAGAAGAATCATGGTCGGCAATCAAGATAATAATACTGGAGGCAGCGGAGATGAAATGTGGAAAAAGAAAGCTGGGGCATAAATCAAAGAAAACTGCTTGCTGGAATGAGGAAACGTTTAGACTCTCTTTTGACTTGACAAGCGATTTACACTCCATTTTGCAGGACAGTACGAATGAAGTTGATAAACTATTTTCGTTTCCGAAACGTTCTAAGCTTGAAAATAAAATATAATTCTCAGTGAAAATAAGGTAATAATGAACCAAGTGGTTGAACCCTTAAAATATAAAAAAAAAAATCTGAATTAATTCATAGATAAACTACTTATCAATACACTACCTATCATGTAAATACACACACACACACACACAGATATATAAATTTATATAGTGCAGGTATCGCATGCACAATTAAAGCAATTTCAGAAATGTATTAAAAAATCTGGTGCGCGCATCACACGACTTTCACTTACCACTCTCGTCTTAGCAGAAATAAGTATTTTCAGACAAAGCGGAAGTGAAAGTAAAAATTATTGACACACATATTTATTTACAATTCATTTTGGCTATTTTTATTTATTTAAATACCTTTATATATAGAAATTTTAATTTTTATATCACTGCATTCCATACAATTAAATATTAAATAATACCAACGAAAGAATTTATGAAAACTGCATATGTATATGAACATAATATAGTCAGAGTCGGTATTATATGAAGCTCATGTTAGGTATAATATGAAGCTTGTTGTAATTTTTCGGGCGAGCTCGGCAAGCTCATATTCCTTTGATTATAGGAATATTTGAAAGATATCCAAGAGACTATCAAGCATCTAATCACCCTCCTCACAAGAATTCTTACCGAAAT